GAGAGACAGTAGAGAGGGATTTAGGAGCTCGGGTGGGAGAGAGACAGTAGAGAGGGATTTAGGAGCTCGGGTAGGAGAGAGACAGTGGAGAAGGATTTAGGAGCTTGGGTGGGAGAGAGACAGTAGAGAGGGATTTAGGAGCTCGGGTATGGGAGAGACAGTAGAGAGGGATTTAGGAGCTCGGGTGGGAGAGAGACAGTGGAGAAGGATTTAGGAGCTTGGGTGGGAGAGAGACAGTAGAGAGGGATTTAGGAGCTCGGGTGGGAGAGAGGGTCGACAGGGATTTAGGAGCTCGGGTGGGTGCAGAGAGCCTGGCTGCAGCCCATCACCCGGGGGCTGGCAGGGATCTCTGGCAGAGTCGGTGGGGACCCCGCCCGCACTGACTGTGGGTTTTGCTCCCTGCAGAACGGCCAGCGGGGCAGGATGGACAGAGGGAACTCCCTGCCCAGCATGCTGGAGCAGAAGGTGAGAGCCGCAGCGCAGGCCTGGAGACGCGGCAGCCCGGGGCCAGCGTGCAGGGCCCCTGCTCACACGTTTCCTTGCTCCCTGCCCTGGCTGGTGCCTGCGGGTTTGCGGGGGGAGGGGCCCCCTGCACTGCAGGCCGAGCTGGGGGTGGGGGCGGATGGAGTGGGCACTGGCATTTCAAGGAACCCGGCTGTTTAGCTGCCTGCTTCCTGCTTCTCAGATTTACCCCTACGAGGTGCTGATGGTGACGAACAGGGGTCGTGTGAAACTGCCTCCAGGCGTGGACAGGACAAGACTAGAGGTACGGCCCTGCAGCGCCTGCGCCCAGCGGAGAGAGGGACCCAGGAAACCACTGCTGACAGATCCCAGTGCTGGAGCCGAGGGGGCTGTGCTGTAGTGAATGCAGGAGCTGAGGGGGGCTATGCCATGAAGGATGCTGGAGCTGAGGGGGGCAGTGCCATGGGAGGATGCTGGAGCTGACGGGGGCAGTGCCATGGGAGGATGCTGGAGCTGACGGGGGCAGTGCCATGGGAGGATGCTGGAGCTGACGGGGGCAGTGCCATGGGAGGATGCTGGAGCTGACGGGGGCAGTGCCATGGGAGGATGCTGGAGCTGACGGGGGCAGTGCCATGGGAGGATGCTGGAGCTGACGGGGGCAGTGCCATGGGAGGATGCTGGAGCTGACGGGGGCAGTGCCATGGGAGGATGCTGGAGCTGACGGGGGCAGTGCCATGGGAGGATGCTGGAGCTGACGGGGGCAGTGCCATGGGAGGATGCTGGAGCTGACGGGGGCAGTGCCATGGGAGGATGCTGGAGCTGAGGGGGGGCAGTGCCATGGGGGGAGGCTGGAGCTGAGGAGGGCAGTGCCGTGGAGGATGCTGGAGCTGAGGGGTTGCTGGGTAAAGCAGCTGCAGAAATAGACAGAGGAGATGGGGAGGGGGAGGAGAGAATGAATGCATTATGGCTCCTGGACTTGGACCCCCCCATCACCACCCCATCCACAGGCTTCCCCCCTCCCTCGCTTTCCCTCTTCTGCACTGAAGCTCGGGGCCTTCACCCCGTGGCTGCATGTGGGGAGTGCCAGGCCCAGCAAACACCACGGGCAGCGCCCAGAGTGGGCACTTGCAGGGTGCGGTCGGGAACTCCGCCGCCCGGGAGTGCTCAGCGCAGCGGGAGAATCTCTAGCACTCTCGTCTCCACTCCACGTGGCAGCGGGGTAGCTGACAGCGACTCGGGGGCCGTCCGAGGTGTGACTAGACATCCCCGAGCTAGCTGTGTGGGGCTTGTCCACGTGGGTGGGGTGCAGTGGTCCAGCCTAACGTGGGAATGGAAACGGCTATTGTGAATCAGCCACAGATCTCTGGCCGGATGCTGTGGTAGGGGCTGGGATCAGTTTCGCTTAAACTGATTTGTTGTGACAGGTTTACTCTCGTTCCAAATAAGCCATTCAGAAACTGAAGTCAGAAAGCGGCTTCGCGGAGGTTTGCACTGATTTAACTAAACCAGTTTAAACCTTCCTATGTAGACAAGGCCTTGCATTGCTTTAAACTTAGCTTGCGTTGTTTTCGTTTGTGCCTGTAAATTTGCAGGGTAGGCTAAACCGCTGTAACATGTAAAGGCAAAATTCGAGAGTCTACCCTGGGCTTTGCATTCGTTTAACTAAATCGTTTTTAAACCAATTTAAGCTCAACTAACGCAATTTCTGTGTGTAGACATATCGGCTACGTCTACACTGGCACCCTTTTACGGAAATGCTTAAAACGGAACAGTTTTCCATTATAAGTATTTCCAGAAAAAGCGCGTCTACATTGGCAGGATGCTTTTCCGAAAAGCACTTTTTCCGGAAAAGCGTCCGTGGCCAATGTAGACGCGCTTTTCCGCAAAAAAGCCCTGATCATCATTTTCGCGATCGGGGCTTTTTTGCGGAAAAGACTACTGGGCTGTCTACACTGTCCCTTTTCCGGAACAGTTTTTCCGGAAAAGGACTTTTGCCCGAACAGGAGCAGCATAGTTTTTCCGGAAAAACACTGACAATTTTACAGTAGATCGTCAGTGCTTTTCCAGAAATTCAAGGGGCCATTGTAGACAGCTGGCAAGTTATTCCGGAAAAGCAGCTGCTTTTCCGGAATAAGTGGCCAGTGTAGACACAGCCATCTAGTCTGAGGGTTTGTACTAGGATTGAATGGGAAACAGATTTTCCATCTTGAGGGAAATTCTACCATTTACAAAAAATCTATACCAAAAACACAGTGAAAACAAAAAAAAAATGGAATTTCTTGCAAAACTAAATTCCAGGGTTTTTTTTTGTTTGTTTGTTTTTAGGCTGATCAAAATGTTTTGTTTCAATGAAATAGTTTCATTTTGATTTTGTGAAAAGCTGTATACAATTTAAAAAACTGACATGAAAATTTGATTCAAAATGGAAAATAGAATTTTCCTAGCAAAACACAGTGGTACGTGCATGTGTGTATTCACATGCACACACTGATCTGGCACAAACACGTGCATACACAAACTGACTTCACACACGCGCGTGCAAACACACTGATCAGTCAGTCACCTGCAGTCACTGACTGGGGGCAAGTACCTACATGCACAGATCTGGGGCATGCACACACTGACTGATCTGACGTGTGCACACGCACATGCAAAATATGAACTGATGCACGCACACAGTTCTGGTGCACACAAGCACACACACATATACAGAGAGAGAGATTTTGTGTGTGCATATACACTGACCTGGCACACATGTCAAACATGCATGCACACACACAGATCTGGGACACACACAAATGCACACATACACAGAAAGATTGTGTGCATGTGCACACACAATGACCTGGCATACACAGGGTACATCTACACAGCAGGGCTTAACTCAAAATAAGCTACGCAACTTGAGCTACGCTAATTGTGTAGCTTAAGTCGAAATTGCTTATTTCAAATTTGGGCACATCTACACAGCACTTACTTTGAAATCAAGCTCTCTTCTTCCGACTTCCCTTACTCCTCCTACAATGTGGGTTACAGGAGTTGGAGTAAACAGTCTTCCAGCTCAACATTTTGACATGCTGAAATACCTGCCTGCTCTGTAAACGCGGACTATGCTATTTCGGAATAACGTCCATTATTCCAAAGTTACACTGCTGTATAGACATACACACACAGATCTGATGCGTGCATGCGTGCGCACACGCATATACACACACAGAGATTTTGTGTGTGCATATACACTGACTTGGCACACATGTCAACCATACATGCCCACACACAGGGTACGTCTACACAGCAACATTCTTTTGAAATAACGCAGTCCGCGTCTACGCAGCCGGGAGTTATTTCGAAAAAACGTCAAAATACTGTCAAGCTGGAGGACTTCTTACTCCGACTCCTGTAACCCTCCTTGTGCGAGGAAGAAGGGCATTTCGAAATCAGTGCTGTGTAGACACTCCCCATTTCGAAATAAGCTATTTCGACGTAAGCGACGCAATTAGAGTAGCCTATTCCGAGTTAAGCCCTGCTGTGTAGACACACCCACAGAGATCTGCCACACACACAGATCTGATGCGTACGCACACACGATTTTGTGTGCACAGGCGCACCGCTCTGGCACCCATGCACTCCGAGGTGGCGCGTGCACATACCTGCGCCCAGAGCAACCCGTGCTGAGCTCCCACTGTTCCTCTCCCTCCAGCGGCACCTGTCCCCGGAGGATTTCCTGCGCGTCTTCGAGATGTCCCCGGAGGAGTTCTGCAAGCTGGCCCTGTGGAAGCGCAACGACCTGAAGAAGAAAGCGTTCCTCTTCTGAGCCAGCCCATGCCCTGAGCTCAGCTACTGTCCAACCCAATCTCGCATCGCAGCTGCTTTAGGGCTCCTGAGCCGCCGGTCTTAACACCTGCCTCCCCTCCCCGACGCCCCTCAGGCAAGTTGATCCCTCGGTCCCAGTATTGCCCCTTCCTGGGGTGGAGGCACCGGAGAGCCTCTCCCTGCCCACACCTTCCCCCACGCAGCCAGGGGACAGCGGGCCAGGCCCGTGCCAATCCCACGTGAGCGACTCAGTCTGGGGCAAACCTCGCCATGGAGCCAGGGGAGGGAGAGTGGACTGAGGGGGCAGGAGGAGCAAGCAGACCCAAAGCAGGCCCAGCCGGTCCCAGGCGGAGCTGGATGCAGAGGGGGGAGGCCAGAGAGGGGAGGGAGGGGGCAAGGCGAGGGGAGACGGGGAGCAGCAGTCGCTTTCCCCTCTGGGCGCTCTCTCTCGCGGGCCTAATCCATGGGCCGGGTGGGTGTCGGGACGTCTGAGGGGCCGATTATCAGTGTCCCTCGCGGGGCCGGGGCTGGTTCAGCCGGGACAGGGGCCGTAGCCGCCGGAGGGGGTCTGGCTTTGCTCCCCCCGGCCCG